CATTCAGAGAAGGAATGGTGGAGGCCATTGCAGATTAGCAGGCTCAGGGTATAGGCTAGGCCTCTGGGCATTCAGAATGCAGGACTTGGTCTCTGAGGCACACAGAAGCCCCAGTGAACCCCCACATGGGGAGGACTGCTGGGTTCCCCATTCCCACAGTGCCTGATTTCATGATCCCCACACACCTGCACAGGTAAAATATGTCTATTAGTTCAACCCCATGTCCACCCTGCAGTTGACTGGTCTTTCCCCTGTGCTCTGGAGAGTACTGCCTGCCTGGAGTCACTGTGAGCTAGCCCCATCATCAGGAGGTGAGTGCTTTGTTCCCAGAGGCCCTCTGGGGACAGCAGAGACACCCCCACATTTTATATAAAGAGAGCACACCAGTCTGTTTGCACAACCTGAAACTGTGTCTGTGTGTCTCTGGAGATGTCCTGAAAGCCTGTCTGCCTGAAAATCCTTGGAGACCATGTTCCAGCCAGAGATTTGGAGAAGACAGCAGGGGTGACCACTTTACTTCAGGAGGAGAACACACGACCCTCAGAGTGAGTGTTTTATAATTCAACCAGTGGCCCAGCTGCAGTGAGGTGGCAAAAAAAAAAATGATGTTATCAGAAGAATAAGTCAGAACTGTTATCTTGAAATCATAAGTGAATAGAGGCATGGAGAGTAGTTATCAAATATTTTATTGCTATATTTCTAAATCCATAATGGCACTATCAGGGAGAGGAGTGCATTCATAGATAAGGTTACAGCTAAAACGTGGGGATAAGTCTTTCTTTATGCTGTCCCTATGAATTTAAAAGTTTTAGTTTCAAACCACTTTTGCTTATTATACCGTGAATAATGCACATAAGGGTGTATATGAACATTTTCCAGATGAGATAAAAGACACTAATGTGAAGTCAACATCATGACATACAAAGCAGTCATGATAGTCAGAGGGAATTTGGGGAAAAGAGGTAGAGAGAGGTGGATACACAGGCACACCTCAGAGATTCCCAGGAAACCTCAGCAAGACATGTGATCCAAAGAGGTACAGCAGGGTTAACATGAAAAGAAACCTGAGCTGGGAAAAGTCAGGACACAGCCATGCCACCCTCTCAGGACTTAGAGGCCAATTGTTTTCCCACAAAGGGAGAGTCAGTGGTTAATGAAATTCTTACTAAAAAGGATTGTAATACATTTTCCTTGATGATGAAGAAAAAGCGGAAAGTAAAAAAAACATCTATCTACCAGACCAAGCCAGACCTTACCGCACACAGCAGCTTCCTACAGTTCATGGAGGTGAGAACATGGAGTGGAAGGTTCTGGCAAGCAACGAAACATGAGGAAAACAGCCAAAGAGAATGGGGGTGGCAGAGGCTCTGGAGAACCCCGCAATCCCCTTCTGGGAGAGGAAAGGAGAGCAGGAGGTGCAGAGGACCAAGAGAGGGTGATGGGCAATCCAGGGCCCTGCAGCCTTGGCCTTAGGAAACCAGCAGAACTAGGCCAACACTGACCTGTGCACAGGACTTGCTGCGTAAGCCCAGCTCATCTCCCCACACACTGCCACACTTACAATTTGAGATGCACTAGTTTTCTCTCTTTGAGACCATTTCTTCCTGAGTAAAGGACTCTTATTGGTGGAGATATTTAATATAACAGTTATATCACTGAGGCACAAATATTATCCTACAAAACTAACATAATACATAAAATCTGTGTTACAAAATTGCACATGCTGATAGAACAATACGGAAAATTGTTCCAGAGAGAAGTGAAATATTAGACCATGGAGTGAGGAAAGATAGGCAGTAGAGATAATGAGGGAGGGGACTGGGGGCAGAGGGCAATGCAGAACTAAGGTTGCTTGTGTCACCTTACAGCTGAATTTCTGTTCCTGTGGAACCAGTACCAAACCCAGGAGTAAATTTGGGGGCCAAATAACCACACAAGAAGCCAAATACTTTTAATGAGAAATAATCAGAAGATCAAGATTCAGAAGTGCCTCCATCCATTTTATTACAAAGGTATACAGTTGAGTGTCATGAAACCTAGACTTTGGTAGAGTACCTACAACATTCATAGCAGGGATCCCAAGGAAGTCCCAGCATTCAGTTCCCTGTGTGATTACAGGGGGCTTACTTCACCTCCAGCTGTGACTTCAAATTCAGTTAAAGCTTCAA